AATTTGCCCAAATTGAATCAGGATGATATACACAATTTAAACAGATCAATTTCAAGTGATGAAATAGAAGATGCCTTCAAAAGCCTACCAACAAAGAAAGCCTAGGACCTGATGGATACACAGCCGAGTTCTACAAAACCTTTAAAGGAAAACTAAGATTTCATCTCACTCCAATCAGAATGGCAGCTATTATGAAGACAAACAAAAATAAGTGTTGGTAAGGATGTGGGACAAAAGGTACACTCATACAGTGCTGGTGGGACTGCAAACTGGTACAGCCAATATGGAAAGCAGTATGGAGATTTCTTGGAAAATTGGGAATGGAACCACCATTTGATCCAACTATCCATCTCCTTGGTCAATACCAAAAGTACTTATAAAAACCATACTACAGAGACACAGCCACATCAAAGTTTATAGCAGCACAATTCACAATAGCTAAACTGTGGAACTAACCTAGATGCCCTTCAATAGATGAACGGATAAAAAAAAATGTGTTATATATACACAATGGAATTTTACTTAGCAATAAAAGAGAATGAAATCATGGCATTTGCAGGTAAATGGATGAAGTTAGAGAAGATAATGATAAGTGAAGTTAGCAATCTCAAATAACCAAATGCCCAATGTTTTCTTGATACAAGGAGGCTGATTCTTAGTGGGATAGGGAGAGGAACATGGGAGAAATAGATGAACTCTAGATAGGGCAGAGGGGCTGGAGGGGAAGGGGAGGTTAGAAATGATGGTGGAACGTGATGATCACTTTTATCCAAAGTACATGTATGAAGACATGAATTGGTGTGAATATACTTTATATGCAACCAGAGATATAAAAAATTGTGCTCTATATGTGTAATAAGAATTGTAATGTATTCCACTGTTATATATAAATAAATAAACAAATAAATAAATAAATAAAAACAAGGCCAAAAAAAAGGAAGGATCAAGAGCTGGGGTTGTAGCTCAGTGGTAGAGTGCTTACATATGAAAGGCACTGGGTTCAATCCTTAGCACCACATAAAAATAAAGGTATTGTGTCTTAAAAAAAAATAAGAAGACTTAAGCTTGCATCTGCTGCTGCTTCCTTGTTCTTCCAACTTTTATTTTGTCCAATTCACCATCCTCTGGGTCTCCACTTCAGTTGGCTATTCCACATGCCAATCATACCTAGAAACACCCTCAATGACACACTCAGAAACCTCTTAATCATTGGCATCTCTTAATCCAATCCAGTTGACACTTCAAATTAACAAGTCCGCTCTTTGTCAACTTGATATCCAAATATGACTTTTTACATCATACTTAATCTCAAAATAAACAAATAACAAGGTCATAATTCCGCCTAGCATAACTATTCTTCTGACAACAGAAAACGCACTAGTTCTTTTCCGAGAATAGAAAAAAAAAGCAAAGACATTACTAATGTTAAGCCAATTAATATTACATTACATGATGAGTAACAGGAAAGTAACAATCAATTCCTCTTAATTCATATGTAAGTATGCACAAACGTATTCTTAATGGAATAAGAAATTTTCAATGGCAATTACAATCCTGGTTTCTGTAACTGGTCATGTGGCCATATTCGGTATTTATGACTCTTCTACTAGCCATTTTGTATTTTCTCTACCTTCAGCAAGCACCTCAGCAGGTCTTGGTTCTTTATCTGGAGGTGTGACCCACACCTTAATTCCTGAAGGGCCTGAGACATTTGTTGTCTTGCCTGGATTGGGTTGTGGTAGTTTCTCATTGACAGGGTAATATAAAGAGATACCCTAAGAGATCTCCTGCACTTCCGGGAGTATGCTTCCTTACCTCTATTGTGAAATAACAGTCCAATGTCCCCTTGGTAATCTGGATCAATCACCAGCACCATAACTCCCTTATTAGCCTGTTGACTCAGAGACATGAGGAGCTCAAAGTGGCCAGGGGAAAGTCTTAACTTCAGTTTAATGAAATCATTGTTGTATTTCCTGGCAGAAGCATTCCTCCTTCTGGAACTAAGACTTCTAGGCCCACGAGCAGGGACAGGAAGCGATAACTTTCCTTGTGGGTGACTCGGGTTAAGGGTGAGTGGTACCATTCCTTTCTCCACTCCTTGATTCCTGGACCTATGAATTCTAGCAATAGGAGAGACAGTACTATATAGTGGATGCTGATTCAGAGTATACACAGCCTTCTGGAGAACCTTGCCCTAGCCCTGCAACGTACTACCACCTAGCTGGCACTGTAACTGCATCAAGAGTCCATTCCATAGTTCTATCAAATCAGCTCCTTCAGGATGGTGGGGAACATGGCAAGACCAGTGAATCCCATGAGCATGAGCCATTGCCTCATTCTTTGGATGTGAAGTGAGTTCCTTGGTCCAAAGCAATGCTATGTGGAATACCATGACTATGGATAGGCATTCTGTAAATCCACAGATGGTGGTTTAGGCTGAAGCACTACATGCAGGAAAGGCATAGCCATACCCAGAATAAGGACAACAGCTGCCCCTTCCATGATGAAAGTGGTCCAATATAATCAACTTGCCACCAAGTTGCTGGCTGATCTCCCCAGGGAATGATGCCATATTAGGGGTTTAGCGTCAGTCTCTGCTGCTGGCAGACTGAACACTCAGCAGTGGCTGTAGCCAAACCAGCCTTAGTGAGTGAAAGTCCATGCTGCTGAGCCCATGCATAACTGCCACATCTGAAGATGATGGCAGGGCCTTGCTCCAAAATCCCAATGGCCTCTTCTGTGATTCACCGATGGGGGCCTGCCAAAGATTCCAGACAATGCCACTGACACTTCAAATACCATTGAGTCAGCTGGGTCATATGGTCCAAGTGGCAGAGCAGCCTGCATAGGAGTCTGGTCCTGTTCTGGACCCCAGTCAAAGCAAGAAGTTTTTCTAGTCACTTGGTAGATGGGCTGAAGTAACACCCACGTATGGAATCTGCTGCCTCCCAAATCTACCAGGTGTTGTGCTTCTTTTTTATTTGTAGGAGAGGCCAGATGCAATAACTTATCCTCTACGTTAGAAGAAATATCTCGGTAGGCCCCACCACTGGACTCCTAGAAACTTTACTGAAGTTGAAGGCCCTTGAATTTTAGTGGGATTTATTTCCCATCCTCTGATACGCAAATGCTCCACTAGCAAGTTCAAAGTGATTGCTACCTCCTGCTCAGTAATCAACATAATGTCATTGATATAATGGACCAGTGTAATACACTGTGGAAGAGAAAGATGAACAAGTCTCTGTGGACTAAGCTGTGACACAGTGCTGGAGCTGACATACCCCTGAGGAAGGACAGTTGAAGGTATATTGCTGGCCTTGCCAGCTGAAAGCAAATCATTTCTTGTGGTCCTTATGCACTGAGATGGAGGAAAAAAGCACATGCCAAATCAATAGCCACATACCAGGTACCAGGAGATGTATTAATCTGCTCAAGTGAAGAAACCACATCTGGTACAGCAGCGGCAACTGGAGTCACCACCTGATTAAGCTTATGATAATCAACTGTCATTCTCCAAGACCCATCTATCTTCTGCACAGGCCAAACAGGAGAGTTACATGGGGATGTTGTGGGAATCACCAGCCCCGCATCCTTCAAGTCCTTGATGGTGGCACCAATCTCTGCAATCCCTCCTGTGATGCGATGCTGCTTTTGATTCACTATTTTCCCAGGTATAGGAAACTCCAGAGGCTTCCATTTAGCTTTTTCCACCATAACAGTCCTCACTCCACAGGTTAGAGAACCAATGTGGGAGTTTTGCCAAGTGCTAAGAACATCTATCCTGATTACACATTCTGGGACTAGGGAAATAAACACAAGATGAGTTTGGGGGCCCACTGGACCCATTGTGAGTCAGACCTTGGCCAAAACGCCATTGATCACCTGACCTCCATAAGCCCCTACTTTTATTGGAGAGCCACAATGATGTTTTGGGTCTCCTGGAATCAATTCAGAGCTGTCTAGTAGTTCCTGAAAGTTCTGATCATTGCCTTTTCCCCAATACACAGTTACCCTGGTAAAAGGCCGTAGGTCCCTTTGGGGAAGGATGGGAGAAAGATTAACAGTAAAAAAACAGATTTTTGGTACTGTACCAGGGTCCTTCCACAAGGAGACCTGGCCTCCCCTTAATTCAAGGGGTTCTAAATCTGTAATTGACTCATATCTGGGAAGCGGTTGAGGGGTCATGATTCTCTGTTGTTATGATCTAAGGCAAACTTTTGTAAATTTGCCCTGGAATTTTCCTGCTTATATTAGTCAAGTAGAATTTGGTGGGTTTTCCATCTATTTGGCTTCTAGAGACACTATGATTAATTAGACAATGCCAGAGATCTATACTATACAAGTCAGAACATTGCATCCACTTCTTCCCCTTTGCTGTCCATTATGGTAACTATGATCACCCTGTCTTTGGCAACTGAGGGCTGCCACTTGGCCCCTTCCTCCCCGAGACCACAGTTCCCACAGTAATGTCTGGCATGCAAAGAAGAGCAACCACAGAGCTCTTCAAGGATGCTGATGACACCTCACAAATTTGTTTCTTATAGTTTTGATGAAGGGTACAACTTCTGGACCTTCCAAGTATGGGGAGAAAGGTTGTACATGACAGATTTATTCCAGCATTCCAATCTCTCTGAGCCTCTGAATTCCCTCATTAACAGTAAACCAAGGGATGTCAGGCATTTCCAGCTCATTTATAATAGGCCATCTTTGAACCCATACTTCAGCCAACCAGCCACACAAACTATTAGTACCCTTTTAAACACTGAGCTATTACCTTACATCTAGAATCTCTGCTAAATGAGCCAATATCAATAATTTAGCCTGATCTAAGTTTATGTTCCTTCCACTCAGAAGCCTTTTAATCATTGGCATCTCTTAATCCAATCAAGTTGACAATTCAAATTAACCATTCATCATAACCTGGAATGTGCTTTTAAGTATTTTGGTTTTCCATGCAATGTATATAGCCCAATCGTACCCTGTACAATACCAGGGGTTAATAGTGGTTTTAAATAAATTTATTAAGCCTTTTGAATGCTGTTTATGTGGAGACATTTCAGCTAAAGACCTCTATTCAAGAGTTGCTTCATTGTCCATAAGAAGATTGGAAGGTGTTTTCCTTCTTTCTGGCATAATAAAATCGGCTTGTCCTGGTGAAAGCTGAGGAAACGTATAATCGATGTATTTTTGAAATGCTGCTCTGGTTTCCTGTAGTTCCTCCTCCAGAAAATCTTTCCAGTTTGTCATGATTCCCAGTTGGTTTACTGTGGACAGCAGCTCCCCCTGAGTGTTAACCAGCTTATCCATCACATTACCAAGAGTGGCCTGGTGTGTTTTCTCAGCTTCCTGAAGCACTTCCTGCGCCTCTTCTTGCTTTTGTTTCTGAGCTATGCCATAGTAGATGTTCATTTCATGTTCCTTTTCTCTTATTATCTGGTTAAAGTTCATCCTCTGGTCCTTAATGATGGATGCACCAGTACTCACGAGTTCTTCCATGGCCTTGCTACAAAAAAAAAAATGATACAGATTTATTAATTAGATGGATTACCTACTAAAAACAGATTGATTTTCACTATATCCACAGATGTATAAGAAATCATTACATTACTGAGATGAGACAGGCTGCTGTAGAAAGCATTAGCAATGAGTCAAAAAAAATTTTTCATAACAAGGAGGCTATTCAGCTTCTCTGCTGTGGGATAGAGCAAGGCCTCTAGTCTAATGTCTCATGGTACATTTGGGGACCTGCATTCACTTTAGCCAGAAAAAATATGAATGTGTTTTGCTTAAAAATGAAGAAATAATGGCTGGGGTTGTGGCTCAGTGGTAGAGTGATTGCCTAGCATGTGTGAGGCACTGGGTTTAATTCTAAGGACAATAAATAAATAAATAAATGTCCTTCGACAACTAAAAATTAATAATTTTTTAAAATGAAGAAATAGTTTCAAACTTACATACTCCTAGAGAAAATATATCAACCCAGCTACTTGATTTTAGCCAAAGGGAAGAAAACTCTATACCTATGGGCTAGATTTAGCTTTAACCCTGATTTTATCTGAGAGGTGTTCAAGGACAGCCATTTCAGATTTATTTGGTCTCAGGATCCCTTTTATACTCAAAGTTACTAAAGGCCCAGAGATCTTTTGTTTATATGAGTTGTATCTATTGACAGTACTAGAAACTAAATGTAGACATTTAAAAATATTTATTAGTTAATGTAAAAATAACAATAAATCAATTACACATGAACTTAAATATTTTTGTGAAAACCATCTCTTCTAAAACAATAAAATATTTGGTGAGAAGAGTGGCATAATTTTTTTTTAATATTGTTTAAAGTCTGGCTACATCAAAGCTATGCTTTCATATTATCTCAATATATTGTGATATTATACACCATAAAACCTCTGGAAAATTTCACTATACACTCATTAAAAAATGAGAGTGAAAAAGGCAGAATCATCAAGAAAGTATTGTTGATTTCATGGATATTCCCCAAATGTCTCAAAGACCCTGAGGGTCCTTGGACTATGCTTTCAGAAGCACTGTTGAATGATTCAGATGTCTGGTTATAATGTATATAGTTATGTATAATTTATAGCAGCCAATCCTTTGACCTCTTACCAGGTGCCAAACTTTTGTGCATGTTAACTCACTGACTTCTCAAAAACAATTCTGTGAGATAGTTCTGTTATTATGCTCAATTTAAATAACTTGTCCATCTTCACTTTTAGTAAAAGTGGCAAAATCAGCATCACAACCCATGCAGTCTGAATTCAGGGCAAAAACTCGCAGCCACTATGATAAATCTCTAGTGGATTTCTATAGTTTGCCTAGTCTGAGAAGAACCTCTGAAGATCTGAGAATAAATAAATCTGCAAATGTTGGATTCAAATACTTACAATTGTTAGTAAAATCCCTCCTGCTTCCCAATTTAACATAACCTTTCCAAGATTTACCACTTACTCTATTGTCCAAATTCCTTCCTCCAAGATGCAATTAATCCTTTCATCTCTTATTGTTCCATCTTGACTTTTAAATTTGACAGCCTTGAACTAAACATCATTTGTCCTTAGCCTCTCTAGTTACTAGACTATTTTTCTTCCTTTTCCCACCAACTAAGCTATATCCATTATTGATAGCAAGTGCTATCATTGGGCACTAACTGTGTCCCAGGAACTTTGCTAAGCATTTTATATTTATTATATCTCATTTAATTTTCATAAGAACACAATGAAGCTGGTATTATTTTATTTATTATTATTCACATGTGATAGGTGAGAAAATTGAGCCTTAGAGAGATTAAGTTATTTTTCAATGTCACACAATTGAGCAAGGGGAAGAGATCCTACCCTTAACCAATACCTGCTTCAATCTCATGAGACATCACTATAAATTTTTCATTGAGAGGGTAATACAATGAATGTAACATTTTAGGGTTGTTATTCCAGTAACAGCGAGTGAACTAAATATTAGTGGGGTGAGTCAGAGAGACCAAACAGTACCATTTTGTAACATTCTGGAGGTGCAATGACCAGAGAGAGGGAGAGGAGACATAAACAAAGAAATATCAGAGTCACAACTGCCAGCAATCAACTACTGCTAGGATATAAGGAGTGCACGAAAAAGAAGAATTTAACCCAACTTCCTGGCTTTCAAGTCGGGCCCCAGTGGAATGGAGGTGGCATTAGTAGAAGTGACATTGTACGTACAGTTGATATTGCACATCCACATACATCCTTAGGGTTTAGTCTGATGTTTTATAAAACCCTTGGGTTGTTGGTGAGACTGTGAACGTGATGACAGGGGCCACGGAGCTTAGTTCAGAAAGAGCCAGAAGGAGCCTTCCTCGATCAGGTTTTAAGTCCCCAAGGAAGAAACTCTGCTCTTCTAAAGTCACAGTTCTGTAACAGGCAGGGTGATTTTCTTTCTGGGTTGCCCCCACACGGGGGAGGTGTTCAGGTAGGGGCCACTGCAAGTCTCCACAGAGCTGACCTTAGGTAAATCTGGTTTCAATGAAGTCTGTCTTAGATGACTCCTAATTTCACCCTCAATATTTTTTATTTTTATTTTATTTTTTAGAATTTTTTGTTGTAGATGGACACAATACCTTTTTATTTATTTATTTGTATGTGGTGCTGAGGATGGAACCCAGTGCCTCACAATTGGTAGGCAAGTGCTCCACCACTGAACTACAGCCCCAGGCATGAACAGTTTTTTTGTTTGTTTTTGTTTTTTAAACTCCCTGAAATCAAAGTCTCTTCTCAGAAAGTTCTGGTATTGTCTGAATATCCTTTCCAATTTCTTCTAGCCTACCTCAGGGCCCAGATTTTTTACCTTTGGGATTTACTCCTTTTGATTTTAGTCAGGATGTCTCTGAATTTTATTCTGATGATTTCGTGAAGGTATGGAGTTGGAAGCCAGGAATGGGGTGGGGCATAGTGCATAGAGGCTGTGATCTACAGTGCCATTCATCTTTATATTTTCGCTCTTTAACGTGGTAGTTGGAGTGGATATATTTTTGTGTGTGTGTGCCAAATAATATCGAATTTTAAAATAGCTAAGTTGAAGTATTGCAAAAGCTTAAAAGAGTTTATGCTTTAAAATTTTTCTAAACATAAGCAAATTATTTGCCAGAAAAATAGTCAATTCTTATGATTATATATTTAAAATGTTTCCTCTAAAAGAGAGGCCTAGAAAGCACATTGTAAGGACTGAAAGAAGTGGGTATATTAGTGCTCTCTGTTTTTTTCCCTTTCCTTCTTTAAAGTAAATCTTGGAATAATCTCTCCACAAATATTTTTTTTAGCTGTTTACAATATTCTTCTTTATTTGTAATTATAAAACTTTACAATGATGTTATTGTAATTTTTTTTTCTCCACAAATATTTTGAAGGATTGCTATGCAGAGTGGAGGGCAGAGCCAGAAGCCAAGGGTGGAAATGAAGGTGAGGCTTAACATTTTGGATCAACATTAGGAAAAACAAGACAAGTGGCAATGTTTAACGCTTGAACCAACAGCCTCCAATAGCAAGTAACACTCCTGTCACTGGAGGAGATGGCTCACCAGCTGCTGGTTCAGCTCCATAACCTCCAATATCCATTCTGATTAAATGAATATCTATGCTCCTTCTCTAAGCAGTAAGGTCCATCTTCCATCTTTATCTTATACACTCATAGTCTCATAGACTGTAGACTTGAAATTCTGAAATTCACACATTTCAGAATGGTGCTGGTTAGAAATGTAACTATTTTCAAAACAGTTGCAGTAAGTGTGCACACATCTGTAGAATTCAGTCTGATGTTTTAAAGAACTCTCTCTCTCTCTCTCTCTCTCTCTCTCTCTCTCTCTCTCTCCCTCCCTCCCTCCCTCCCTCTCAAGAATGGACTCTTGAAGAATGAAAGAAAGTTATTTCTTTAAATTGATAAACACAAAGTCTTTATTTATTTATTTTTATGTGGTGCTGAGGATTAAACCCAGTGCCTCACATGTGCTAGTAAGTGCTCTACCACTTAGCTACCCCAGCCCTGAAAAAAATAAAAATATAATAATTCAAACTTACTAAGCTATTGGGGGAAAAAATAAAGCATAGAAAATTTGTAATAACAATTTATTTGTCTTCTGCTCTCTTTAGGATCTCTTTTAGTTCTCTTCATTATTTTTAGAAGGCTGTTGACATGGTACAAGATATTTTGCTCATACATTTAAAGAAATATATCAATAAGCATTTCTTCTCTTCTACTTATTAAGCAAATTTTTTAAAAAACTTTTCTTATACATGTTTTTGTTATGATTTTGATCTGGATTGTTCCCCAAAGTTTCATGTGTTGAAGCTTGGTCCCCAGTATAGCAGTGTTCATAAATGGGCCACTTGGGAAGTGACTGGATCATGAGGGCTCTGACCTCATCTGTAGATTAATCCATTGAGTGATTCAGAATTTGAATGTACTATTCAGAAGTGGTAGGAAGTGGGGCTGGGGTGGTGGCTCAGTGGTAGAGCACTTGCCTAGCATGTGTGAGGCACTGGGTTCAAGTCTCAGCACTGCGTATAAATAAATAAAATAAAGGTCAATTGAAAGAAGAAGAAGAAGAAGAAGAGGAGGAGGAGGAGGAGGAAGAGGAAGAAGAAGAAGAAGAAGAAGAAGAAGAAGAAGTGGTAGAAAGCACAGAACCTAGTAGAAGGGAGTGGATCCTTGAGGGCATGCCCTTGGGAACTATATCTTGTCCCTGGCTTCTCTCTCTCTCTCTTTCTCTCTCTCTCTCTTCCCCCTCGCACTCCCTGGCACCCTCTGGTTCCAGGCTGCCATGAGCTGAGAAGCTTCCTTTGCCTTGTTCTTCTGCCATGATATTCTGCCTTACCTCAGCCCAAAGCAATGGAGTCAACTAACCATGGACTTGAAATCTCTGAAACTCTGAACCAAAATAAACTTTTCCCAGCTGGGGATATAGCTCAGTTGATAGAGTGCTTGCCTCACATGCAAAAGACTCTGGGCTCAATCCCCAATACCACCAATACAACAACAACAACAACAAAAAAAAAACAAGCAAAATAAACTTTTCCTGCTTTAAGTTGTTTTATGTCAGGTCTTTGGGTCACAGTGATGAAAAGCTGACTAACACATTTCTACTGTTCAACCTCCTTTCTACATCTATCAGTAAAAATCCTGGATCTTAAAACACTAAGAACCAGTATTTCATTTCCCCCATTGGGTATTTCTAAATCATGATGAGATTTGTTCCCAAAAGTCATTTGTCCATATAATAGTAGAGCAAAGTATAACATATTAGATAATTGGCCTGATTAGGCTATGAATCCATTTTTCATTTGAACTACAACTTTTAGCTCTACTTCAATCAAGTATAAAAATTGTGCTTGCAATTTTTCAATTCTGATTTTCTACCCTGGACATAAGGAACCTATGGCTTTCTGGTTTGATAGGAGAATTAATGATACCCTCAAGCTGGTGTTGTAGGTATTATAGAAGGTATGGGCAGGTGGGGAACATCTCTAGAGGCCAGCCTTCTGCAGCACATTTGGATCTTAGGGTTATTAATACCCTTGAGCTTTTCCATTGGCTCTGCCTCATTATACACCAAACCTTCTCCTTCCATGTTTTTGTTCTTTCTGTTCTCATTATTTTGCTTCTTTCAAAGTGGGATCTTCCATCTTCTAAGGACCAACCCAAGACCAACTTTCTCCAAAAAACCCTACCTTTCTACTACCCCATCCACACTTTATCTTTCCATGACTTCAAACTCTTCCAGAATCTAAGTGTTACCTGTTCCAGTACATCCAGGCTTGCTCATCTAATTACTCCACCTAATGTGCCAGAACTTCAGTGCCACATCCACAGAAAGCATCTAACTAGCTCTGAAGAAGAATACAAATCCTCTAGATAAGTCATATAACTTCATGTAGATCAAGGTAGCCTAATGGACGGTCATAAACTTTGGCCTCATACAGGCCAGGGTTCAAATCAGGCCCTATCATCTCCTCTCCATGTGACCTTTGGGAGTTTGCTTAGTTTCTTTGTAAGACTTGGGGGTCTTAATCTGATGATATACAGGATGACATAATCCCCCAGGAAGGGATATGAGAATTCAATGAGAAGTACACAAAGGGCTTTTGTATACTGAGTACTGAATAAAGGGTAGCTGTCACTAGGAATTACATGACCACAAAAATTCCTGAGTAGTTCCTTCATTCATGTCTTGCCTTATATTAGAATATAATTAGAAACTACTCAAGCTGAGATATTAAAAAAAAGTCCCATGTCTCCTGAGTAATATGTTTAGAATCTAATCACCTTAATTCACAAAAAAAGTTGTCTGTGCATTTAACAAATTTCTCAAAATATATATGTGTTCTGAATCCTTAAGTCTTGCATGAAAATTTATAGTCAAATAAAGAATCTATGATAGAATTCTAATTAGTGGTCTCTTTACATACATTAATTTCTATAAATGTTTTAAACAACACTGGAATCCAGCAATATCTAGAAATTAGATCTGGTATGGATGCAGGGTTCATTTGAGCAGAACAAATTTGAATCATTTGTTAAATAAATATTTAAAGAATACTAGCCATTTATCAGGTTTTCTTTCAGACACTTGGAAAACCCCAGTGAACAAAACAGACATTTCAGTTGGATATAAACAACAGACATAGCAATTCCCTGGTCTCAGTCTATTGATTCAGTAGAAGATGGACACTGAAAATCTTATTTCAGTTAAACACAGGAAAGTGGTGGAAAGGGGCAAAAGCAATAGAGCAAGGGAGAGATCAGGAGACTGCAGGTGTATGTATGTGTATGAGGAGTGGACCCAGAGGCTCCTCAGGAGGAAAACCCCCCAGACATGGAAAGGGAACAGAAAAGGGGAGAAGAGGGTCCATTTTCCACTGCATTGGACCACAACTCATTCTCTAACTCCCTCTTCAAATCCTTTCTCACTCTCCTCGTCTACATCCACAATGATTTAAAATCTATGCAGAAAGGGTGATACCCCTGAAACTGACACAACTGTACCCCTCATTCTTGTTTATCTGTCCCTCCTTCAGGATTTTACCTTTAGTGCTGTTCTAATAGTTCTAATGAAAAAGGTTTCACTGATCAACTATATACAAATGTATGTGCTTGTTAACTCAAATGGCAAAACAAAAGTGACAGGCCACAGTCTAGGAGGCCAAACAGGGAGGTCTCAGTCTCAGTTCTATGCTGCAGCTCTATGATCTTGGGCAGGTCACTTGTATCTGGAAACTGTTTTTCACTTGACAATTCCTGTGCTCCTCACTGCTGTCCTATTCCACCAAATGTTCATTATGTACCTAGAAAGGTTCCCTTCATACACATTCACACACAAACACATGCACACATATATTATGATGGGTGTAAAATGATTTTTATTATGTACATATATGTGATTATCACAAGCATGTGATTATATACATATTTACATCAAGAGGGTATGGAAGGATACAAAGTATAATTTAAAATGATTTTCTCTAGAGGCAAGGAGGGATGAGGAAGCATTAAGCTGGGATATGCAAATTTTGCTCTATACAGGTCCACAAAGTCAATTTTTTTTTTTTTGCTAAAGCAAGAAGTAATATAACCACATAGGAACTAGGATAGAGGATGTAAAGATTGACTTAGGTATTTAAGGGGAAATGTTTCTTGATTTCTCTCCTCAGCTTCTTAAAACTGGAGATCCAGAGTGAAAAACATAATATTTAAGTGTAGTTATCTCTTGAGAAGGGAGATGGATATGGAGAACATATGGAAGCTTCTTAAGTGTTGGTAATTTTCAGTCCCCTTATAAGATGGGTATCAGGTCCTTCAGTATTTGTTACTACTTTGCTTTAAAACACACACACACACACACACACACACACACACACACACCTTCTGTAAGATATGTTTGCTATATTTCATAATAAAAATGTAAAAATTCCCCAAATGGGGAACATCCACCCATGTACCTTAACCTTATCCCTTTCTTCAGGTGGATTTTGATAAGAGTCAAATACTAATTTGCAAATGTAATCAGTGGAATACCTTCTTTGGGCTTCTAAAAGATCCTGAGCGATCTGTCTTTCTTCTTCCCTGGCTTTCTCCACAGCCTCCATCTTCTCCCTGTGGCACTCCATCATAATTCTTTGGATTCTGTGCACCATGCGTTGTTCTGCAGCCATGTTTTCTCTCTTCATTTCATCACTCATGTTTCGAAACATTTCTGTCTTGGTTTTAGCTTCCATGTCCTTAAACAATAGGAATGCTTGGTTTAGATGTTACAGCCTTGATGTTTTAAAATATTTTAACATTTGTTTTGTGTGTGGGGTGTGTGTGTGTGTGTGTGTGTGTGTGTGTGTGTGTTTTAAAGTGCTAGGGATTGAACAGGGTTCTCACACAAGTTAAAAAAGGTGTTCTACCTCTGAGTTATAATCCCCAATCCCTTAAAACGAATCCTAAGAGGTAATCTAAATCATAGATTCATCCACCTGAAGAAGTGTGCACATGATAACACTGATAATTTAAAAGAATATTGTGCATGATATGTAAAACTTTAATTTATGTGATGTTAAATAAAATCAGGAAACTATAAACTATGTACATAGATACATATACTATGAACATATTGAAATGGAATATGCAAAACGGAGGGGTGAGAATAAAGGTCTTTTTTTCTTAACTGTCAGATTATCATTACAACTTTTTAGAAAGACAATATACAATTCTGCTTTAGTAAGTCCTGGGAAATGGTGCAATAATTATTGTACTCAGTGACTTCTGTGTAGGAGAGAACCTGAGACTCAAGCAGAAAACAGTTGTACATTACTGCAGTCAAAGGAACCTGCCTTCCAGTCCCCACTGCTGTTGGAATATTCAAGCTCATTTGTGTTGAGATGTACTTTCTCTTTCATAAAGGAGACAGAAACAAGTGTTTCATTGCTCTGTGGTTAGGAGAACCTGTGAATGGCTTTCAGACAAACAAAGAAAGGAAGCACTAGTCAAACCAAGATTTGTTGGGGGGGGGAACTCATATATAGTTGTAAAGGAAAATTCTGTTAGTAGACATTTTAGAAATGTGGCCAAATATTATGGTTTGGATATAAGGTCTCCCCAAAAGTTCCTGTATTAACTCAGGAATATAAAGAGGTAAAATGATTGGATTGTGAGAGCTGTAACCTAAAGAGTCCATACTTGTTTGAATGGACTGACTGGATGGTAACTATAGGCAGGTAGAATGTGGATGGAGGAGATGGGGGCAGGTAGGGTATGTCCTGGAAATGTACAGCTTCTCTGCAGTCCCTACACTCTCTTTCTTTCTGCTTCTTAGTCCCACCAAAAACTGAACAGCTTTCCTTGGGCCCTTCTCCTAAAGATGTGTGCCTCTCTTAAGGCCAAGAACAATGGAGTCAGCTATCTATGGACTGAGACCTCTCAAACTGTGTGCTCCAAATAAACTTTTCCTCCTCTAAATTGTTCTTGTCAGGTAATCTGGTCACAGTGATGAAAAGCAGAGTAAAACACTTGTTCTCAGAGTATTTACTATCAGTGGAAAAGACCAACAAACTAATTTTGCAATGAGTCTTGTAGTAGGAATACATGCAAGAATGGAGCAGTTGGTTCTGTTCAAGAGTTTCAAAACTTTCATTTAATGGTAAACTTTTATCTCTACTTTAGGGAAGATATCAAGAGAACATAAATAAAGTTATTTCACACAAGTCAGTGGAAGAATTAGGGATGAAAACCAAGGTTCTCAATGACCAGTTTCTCCCTTGCTGGTTATATTGGACTTTTTCAAGAAATTTACCCATTTATTCATTCCAGAAACACTGCAAAATCTTATGATATAGTAGCCTCCTTGTCTCCACCTGCCTATCTGGCAGCCTGCCTTCTTTCCTTCCTCACTTTTCTTTACTGCAGAATATCTTCTCCAAATGAAATATCACCCAAAGTTGAAAGGAATAAAACCAATAAAGTTTTCCTGGTTCAATTTTGCCTAACACCCTTCAAAACACTTTCTGTGGGGGGCTCCTAGGAAGCTGGTTCCATTTACTATGTATCCAGACAGAATCCTCAGCAGAAGTTGAAAGTTTTCAGAAAAATGAAATTCCTCTTAGTTTATTAGAAAATATTTTAACAATTAAAATATTTGTTAGACAACAGCTTTTTCAAGAGAAGAAAAGTTTTCAACTTCTTACTTTGGCTACTCCAATGGTGAATATTTTTAAGAGATAAGAAAAACCAATTTGAAGAATTTCTCCTGAATGACCTTAGTTGATGGATTTTGAAAAATCTTTATAGGGAAATATTGGCCACTTAGGAATGTAAGCTACATTTTCTATATAGCAAAAGGCTTTGTCTCTAAAACTGCTTGAAAATTAAATATTTTGAATGAAAATGTCTTTAACCACTCAGTTTACCTTATAAAAAGACTATAATAAAACACTAATGTTTTCTTGGTCATCTGGGCTCAGTAGACAAAGATGAATGATTGTACTGCGGTAAAAATTTCATATGGTACTCAATAATTGTTCAAGTTCATAGAGCCATTTGTCTCTGCCATAAATGACTTCAGAATGAACTGCTGTTTGAGACTTGATAACTGCTCTTTGTAATTTTTCTTACTCTTCTCATGCCTCCTTGGGTTGAGGACTGTCTGTTCTAAATACTATCAGTGAGCCCCCTTTTGTCTAGTTTCCAGCATTTAATCTATTTTGGGGTTTAAAATAGCAAACCACCAAGGTTGTTGGGTTCAGGATGTCAAGTAAGTATAATGACATCTGAATGAGGATGGAGGAATTCTACTACTGGAAATAAGCCTGAGTTTTTCTCTTGTTGTTAGGGGTGTTATTAAACTCTGTAGAGGATATCTTAACTTATTTCTGTGTTTTCAAGGAAAAAAAAAATATATATATATATATATTTGATACCAGGGATTGAACTCAGGGGTACTTGACCACTGAGCCACATCCCTGACCCTATTTTGTATTTTATTTATTTTTGTGATATGGAGGATTGAGCCTAGGGCTTGTGCATGCAAGGCAAGCACTCTACCAATTAAGCTATATCCCCCCAGCCCTTAAGTAAGTATATTTTCAGTAATTGAGACTGCAAGATGGTAGAGCTTTAAATAGGTGAGCTATCATATTACCATAGCATATTTCTCCTTAAATAACTGAATTTAAAAAATAACATCTCAGCCCTTTATTTTGGCTGAGTTCTGAACTAGGATTTGGAGAATTAAGCCTCAGTCTCTCTTTTATGTAATGACCTAGAAAAATCCAAATCATTGTCAGTGAGCCCCCTTTTGTCTAGTTTCCAGCATTTAATCTATTTGCTACTGCCTCACTTAGCATATAGAGTACATATATGTACTGTTGTTTCATTCAGCAACCTATTGTTTGACAGTGTTCTTATCTAGTGTAAGATTTCCGGATAAAACTGCTTTTACTGAAATATATCTTGAATGAGTCAGCCCACATTTTGAAGATATTATAGGAAACAAACTTTATGAATCCCACAGTGTTTACTGTATAAATATCTGTTTATGTACAAATATCTGACAAGCATTTTTATACAGTGTCTCTCAGAAACTTCCTCAGGTTTTGTGACAATGAATATCTGGGCCTCTATTGAGTGTCTGATTTGTTTTTACCTTATGGACATGGTGGTGGTCCATGGCATTTTCCTATTTGAACTGGGCATGGGCAGTGAGATGTTGCAGCCCACCCCTAAAAGACCATGCCAAGACTGGTGGTATTGGGCCACTGGAGCCAAGCAGAGAGCATTCTACTTTTAGAACCCAGGGGAAGAGCTCTCTTCTCTGTTAGTTCCCTGAGGACAAGGACAGTCCATTTAATCTCAACTAGTACAGAGATAACATTTCGTAGATGCTCACTGTCAGATCAATGAATACATGGGCCCACAGACCTTGAACTGTTCATTAGTTATGTTTTTTCTTTTCTTTTCCTTTTTTTTTTTTTTTTGTGCTGGTGAGGTAAGCACTCTACTGAGCTAAATCCTAAACCCCTTATCTCCAATCTTTAGGTAAGGATCAAAACAGGTTGTAAAGTAAAAGAATGTACTTGCAAAACATTTGAAGAGGGCTGGGGTTGTGGCTCAGTAGTAGTGCACTTGCCTGGCATGTGTGAGGCACTGGGTTCGAGTCTCAGCATATATAAATACATAAAATAAAGGTCTACCAACAACTAAAAAAAAAGTCTTTAAAAAAAATCTGAAGAAATCCACCTGCACAGTGGGCATGCAACCTACTGTATACATTCCCTTTGCTTGTAGGGATGGTGCAGCATTCCACAATACCCTGGCCTGCTACCACTGAGGAGTACATAAGTTATAAAATGTTCAAACCTCTCTGTTGAGTCCTCTAAAGTTCTTTGGGATCAGTAAACAGTACACTGGGGCATTTGCAGCCTTGGGCTGAACCATGTCCCTCCTGGCAGTATAGCACATGCAAATTTAGGAAAAAGTAAGTCCAGGAGAAAGAACAGAACAGCCTGTTTCATTCATTCAGGGCTATAAGGTTTTCCTTCACATATATATCACTGCTCCATAGAGCTCAGCATCTCTTCTGTGAATCTCCAGGGCTTCTTTCCATAATTCTATGTAACACCACGCAGACTTTACATATTATGGTATTTGCTCTCATTCTTTTGTCAACTTAAGTAATTTTTTTTTTACTAACTTCAGCATTTCTTCTTCTTTTTTTAGTGCCCTTTCCAGTCAACTACAAATATATCACATTAAGATATAATTTTATGTTACTATTTTATAAATATCTGCACCCTTATAAAATGCCAAAATAGTAAACATAAGTAAGGTTGAGCTATCATTTGATTTTTTTTTTCTGTTAACTTCAGCATTTCTTAAAAGACAACAACAAAACCACTCTAACAAACCTGTAAATCTTTCTGATGTTTCTCTTCCAGAACCTGAATTTCAAATTTATGTTTGGCAGTTAGATCTTCAAATACTTTATCCACTGCTTGTTTTTGGAGTTCATTAGCCTTTGAAAGAAATAGTCTAATTATTTATTAATACCTCAGGATGAAAACAGGGCAAACTATCACTATATGGGATGCTGGTCAATCTGATTTTCACATTTACTAAAAATTAGCAACACCATGGGGCCCTATTACTTACTCTATTCCCATTTCAAACTTCCCATAGTGCCCTGGCTATCTTCACTAGAGATCCTAACACATTCCAATACTACAGCTTTATTGTATATATGCTGCTGCACTGTCTTTTCTCCTTGGCACTCTATTTCTTACTTGCTTAATTAGCAAAGAAACTTATGCTTATCGTAGAAAATGTGGGAACTGAGACCAGACATGCAAAGCTACAAGCTGAGTAGGGAGACCGAATACTATCCAGATCCCCTGCTTCAGGAGTTCAGAAAGAAGTTTTGTTAGTATTTTGAAGAGAATATCCAGACAACTAGATAAACTTATTTTCAAACTGTAGACTATTTACAAAAGCATCCACTTATATTAGAATGCATAAGTAACTGATGACTAATAATCAATTCAAATTTTATTACTAGTAAAAAAATAGACAAGTACTTAAATTTTGAAATGTTACTCTTTGCATTACTTTTTTATGTTCAAAATATATTCATACAAAACTTTTGCTGGCACTAATATTGGGCAATTCTGATACTATTAGCTATAATGTCTATTTTATGAAGAAATCAAAAAATAATATTCTAAGGATTGTGATTTGTTTTGTCCTCAAGGAGTTTTAACTCTCTTTAAGAAGTCATATATATTATTCTACCTATGACTTGAAGAAGTGGGGGCTGCAGGATTGAGGCTTTGTTCAATTACCTCTGTGAGTCCCAACATTCAAACTGCTTCTATGATACTCAGCAATCATATGAACGAGGTATCAAGAATTTGGGGTTTCGTTTGTTTAAGATGGGGGTCTCAATTTTGTTGCCTATGCTGGTCTTGAACTTGTGGGCTCAAGCAATTCTCCCACCTCGGCCTCATAGATAGGTAGGACTACTGGCCTGGCAGTATGAAGATTTTTCCCTTGATGAAGAGGAGTAGGCCAAGATGAAGCATTTGAAAAAAATGGACATTATTTCAGGTGTGTTGTACACCACACAAAAAGATGATATATATTAAATGTAAGACCATAATAATCACTTTACAAGTATTCCCTTTTCCTCTTGAGGTTTAAACAAATGAGAATAAAGGAGGCAGGAATCATCCACACAAAAAGGGCAAGTTAAAAAGAAGGAAGCTTCTGATAGGCCCTCTTCTTATTAAAGCACCCACATGTGTGCTAGGCACATTATTTCATTGAGCCCTCATTCCTATAAAATAGGCATTATTATTATCTCTCTTTTATTTATGAAGAAGCCAAGTTGAAGAACTTGCCTAAGTTCCCATAGCTAGCCAGGACTCAGGCCTTTCTAGCTGACTCTGTAGACTATGCTCTTGCCTACTGAGCTATATAGTATTGTTTCAGACAATTCTGAAAAGAATTGTCTTTCTGCCAAAGAACTATAAAGTTGTATTTTAGGTTGATTTCTACTTCTTTTACCTGATTCCATACTTTAGCTTCTGCTTTTACAATCCTTTCTTTGAATGAGATTTCTTGATACCTCTCTTCTTTATTCAGAATATTTGCCCCAATATCTGTGTATTTAAAGAGAAATGATCATAAACCTCCATAGATTGTTTCCTGGATTTCCCTTCCATCATTATCTAGTTATTTATGTGGGCCATCTAGGAGTTATAGCCTTTTAGGAGAAGTCAATTCTGTGTGTGTGTGTGTGTGTGTGTGCGCGCGCGCGCGCGCGCACAATATTAAATCATGCTAAGCATATGCTCTACCACTAAGCTACACCCCTAGCCAACATTTTTTTAAAAGTGTTAATCATAGATTTTTTTAATTTTTTAATTGAATTTTTAAAAAATAAATGATAGCAGAATGCATTACATTTTTTATTACACATATAGAGCACAATTTTTCATATTTCTGGTATATAAAGTATGTTCACACCAATTCATGTCTTCATACATGTACTTGGGATAATAATGCCTATCACATTCCTCCATCATTGCTAACCCCCTGCTCCTTCCCTTCCCCTCCCACCCCTGTCCTATCTAGAGTTAGTCTTTTCCTACCATGCTCCCCCCTCCCTACCCCACTATGAGTCAGTCACCTTATATCAGAGAAAACATTCAGCATTTGTTTATTTTTATTTTTTTGATTGGCTAACTTCACTGAGCATTATTTTCTCCAACGCCATCCATTTACCTGCAAATGCCATGATTTTATTCTTTTATTGCTGAATAATATTCCATTGTGTATATATACCACATTTTTTTTTATCCATTCATCTACCGAAGGGTATCTAGGTTGGTTCCACAGTTTAGCTATTGTGAATTGTGCTGCTATAAACATCGATGTCGCTGCCAACAACATTTTCTTTAAAGATTCCTATTGAGGGGGTAAGTTTTTCCCTAACTGATCAGGAGAGAACTCAGCACTATTAGGCCTAAGTAGACAGTCATTCCCCTCATCATGCCCAGACCACACAGTAGGCAACTAGGGAAGCAAAGTGAAATAAATGCCTATTGAAAAGGCGTATTTTTACAAAGTAGAATGGTGAATGAATATCCAAGATATATTAGTATATTAGTACATTTTCAACTCCTCTCTCCTTGATCCTATCTGGGTACTGGTGCTATTTCCATCAGGAGAGTAGAAGCTGAATGTCTTCCTTACATTATATACATGCCTTTCTTCAGTGTGGGTTTACCTATTTCAGATATAGAGTGAGCTAAGGAGTGGTTTATTATTTCTTTGTCAATGATCTAACTTTATTTCCAAATAATAAAAACCCCAAAATAATACCCTTTCTACCCAGAAAAGATCATAAGTATAGGGGTTAGAGAACATGTAATATCAGATAGGTAAGAACAGAGCTGGACCTGGAGCATGAGTCCTTCAAGCTGGTCACAGGGTTTGCCCACTTTCTCACAACTGAGTGATTGTCAGAGGTGGCCCACAAGCTGTTACAGGAGTAATAACCTTTGGGTGCTGAAATTGTATACAGTGATTTTTCTTTCTAAATTCTTATAGTACTTACTCTTCATTCCATTCATTCTCACATCTTAGATAAGTTGAATTACTAACTTTTCATGTGATTATGTTTTGATGATCAGCCTCCTAAAATTACAAAACACACTTTATAGTGCATTGTATCTCTTGTGGTGCCTAGCTTGGCAATACAAGTGGACATGCGTGTTTATCTGCTTAGCACCTCTTCTCTCCTTCTGGTAATAGGACCCACTTCTCTCAAGAAATTCCCTCCCTCACTTGAGATCATTCCAGTAAGACTGCCAATTGAGCATCCAAACTTCTGGTCTTTCTTCCACCCCTCTCTAGGTCAGAAAAAATTAGCCCAGGATTGAGCATGTGCTGAAGCCTGGCTATCTATGCTCTTCTCTAGGACTTCATATAAGGATTTAAGGAGAACATATCTCTTTTCCTTCTGAGATTTCTAAGATGGAGATAACAGATACTTAGAGCTATTTAAGTCTACACCCCTCCTTTCCCAGGTGCATAAGCCTGGCTGCAGTAGTAAACAATTAAGCCAACTCACTAAGAAAGTAAGCATGGCAGATTGAAAGCCTAAAGTCAAGTTTCTCTATCAAAGGGTCAAGACTTTCATTTTATTCAGTATAATCTAAGCTGTGTTTCTGCCACCGGCAACTGAAAATGCATGTGTGGAAATATAGTCTTCGCCACTAGATCATCAGTGAGTTTTAAAACATAGGGCAAATACTATGGTAGAGATGGACACACTATGAAAAATCTCAACACTGTGTAGCTACAGTTATGAAAGACCTAGGAAGAAAAGTGACTAAGTGTGGACCACTAAAGTGTGGAATTTCATAAAAATGCTATACAAATGTAGGTTGCTATTACCTTTTTTAATGCTTAAATTTCCTTACTTTATATTTGTTATTCTCAACTCCCATCATATAATAGGTTACCTGCAGAGCTTTTTAATAATGCATATGCTGAGGAACTGCATACAAACAACTTGTTTGAATCTAAAAGTCATTATGTTGAGTGAAAAAAGTCAATTTCAAAAGGTTATATACTGTGGGATTGTTTGGTAGCAAACTCAATCATGACAAAATTATAGTGACAGTACCCTCACAGTGATAAAACTGTGGTGGTGACAGAGAACAGATTAATGGTTTCCAAAGTTTGAGTTAGGGGAAATGAAAGAGTTTGTTACATGAATATACACATGCAATCAATGTCATAAAAATACACACTATGGAAAAAGTACATATAAAGTCTCTGAGTTAATATTAATATCATTTTTTCCAATGATAATTTCCTGGTTTTGACAAAGTACCAGGATTGTGTAAAATACCAATGGAAGAAGCTGGATCAAAATGTCATCAAAATGCTCTACCTATTTTTGCAACTTTGAGTCAAACTATTTCAAAATAAAAAGTAATTAAAAGGTAAGAAAAAATATATATGCTGAGTTGTGACCCTGGAAACAGACTGAGAGGCTAAATACCTTACCTAATGAGTACAATTGGTAAGTGGAGTTGCTAAATTCCAACACATATTCTTTCATGGTAGACAAGCAACTTTGAACAGGGAAAAGCTGATAAAAGCCTACATAACAGAATAATATATGACGCTTAGAACAAAGGAAAACTAATAGTCACTTACCCAGTATATCTTTATGAGTGTAAAAGCGTGTCTTGAACGGCTTGTAATCATGGATTCGTTTGAAGGTTTCTCCAAAAGGAGCTGGTGGAATTATTTTATTACAAAAAGCACAGCAAACAAAGTTTGTATAATCTGTATTTCTGATCATAGTTAAAATTTCAGATGTCTTCTATTATTTCCAGTTAAAATAATCTTAGGATCAGGAAAATTATTTTTAAGAGAAGCTAGAATTTTAAGAAAGCTGCAAGACACTCAGGGTTTTAGGATAAAGCTAGAGGCTGGTGAGGACTAAATGATTTACCATGATTATGTAGTTATGTGCCTAATTTAAAGAATGGTACTAAAAGCCTCTGCCATACAAAGTATGGGCACCGGATTTGGGAGGATTTAAGTAGTTGCTCCCTTCCAGCCTTTAGCATAAGTTGTTAACACACTTAGCAACTGTTGCCAGGTAAGACAAGCTTTGCTCATAAAAGCAACTTGAAATAATGACAAAAGGGAACATACTGCAGCCACTGATTTTCTAGATAGTTTCTGTATTAGTTTCCTGTTGCTGCTGGACTAAATTAACACAATCTTTATGGCTAAATACAACATAAATTTATTCTCTTGAATTCTGGAGGTCAGAATCCAAAATGAGTCTTTTAGGGACATTTCTGGTTCCTTCTGGAGGCATTAGGGGAGAATCTCTTTCCTTGGTTTTTCTAGCTTCTGAAAGCCATCCACATTCCTTGGGTCCATGGCTTTGGATCATATTGCCTTTTTCCTCCAGCTTCCCTGGTGATATTGATTCCTCCTCTGATCTTCTGCCTCCCTCTAAGGACCTTGAAGATTATAATAGTCCCATTGAGGTAATCTAGGATGATTTCCGTATCTCAAAATTCAAAGCTTGATCACATCTGCAAAGTCCCTATATATAGCAACATATTCACAAAAGGCATCAGAGATTAGAATCTGGACATCACTGCAAAGGAGGAGAACATTATTCAGCTGACCACATTTTGTTTAAAATTTTTTTTTAAAGAATGAATTTTCAGCCGGTTGTAGTGGCATACGTCTGTAATCCCAGTGGCCCAGGAAGCTGAGGCAGGAAAATTGTCAAGTTGAAAGCCAGTGTCAGCAATTTAGCAAGACTCTGTCTTAAATTAAAAAAAATTTAAAAAGGGTGGGGATGTGACTTGGTGGTAAAGAGTCTTTGGGTTCAATCTCCAGTATCCAGCTCCCCAAAACAAACAAACAAAAAAGAATGAATTTCTTTCAAGACCAAGGTAGTTTCTTATTTTTTTCAGGTTATTTATAAATGTGATGCTTTGGTGACCTGGCAATAAAACATAAATATCACAGTATCTTAAAGGAAAAATTAGTCCATAAGTCAGTATTCAAAATGACTAAGCCTGGTTTTTAAAATAACCTAGCTAATTAATTTGTACCTATAATTTTAGAAAAACATTTTTAGAAATTCTGACTATTACAAACATCTGTGCAACCTGATTATACTAAGTGACTAAATTTTTAAAAGTTGTCTAACAAAGTAGTACACAGCATCTACCAGGCAGGACTGATCTTGAATTGATGCCATCAATGAAATTAATTTCAACAATAGAACTCCCATAGGACCCTGGTGAGAACTAAATGATTTACCCCGGACTAAGGTTTGTCACAAAAGTTACTGTGGAGAAAAGGCTCTGCTCTGCTCTGAGTTCTCCATGATGTATAGAATAGCAGTTTTCAAGCTGTGCTTAAGACTGTGTTCCTCCATTTTATTGTATGTGTTCTGGTCACTACTGTGATCAATTGGTCACTCGGCTACCTCAGTCCTGGGGAGTAGAGGCATGGAGTCAACACACAGACACTGGGAGTTTAGTGAGAGCTGGCAGGTGACAATCGTAATTGAGTCCAACCAGCTCGTTTAATGCGGAAGTGATTACAATTGATATAGAATGCATCTTCCAATCATACATAAGAAAGCAGGTTATATAACATCTAGAAACCAATCATCTTATGATTAATGTAGCTGCACTATGAGGAAGCTCTAAATATTGCTATGCAGTGGAAGGCAGATTGAAAGGATCATTTTCCCTAGGGGAGGGGACCTTATGAGTTAGGGGTTTCATGCCCTGAAGCACCTAACTCTCAATTTCCTGGCCTTGTAGCTTGGCAATGCTAACTTCAAGCACTGAGGATGTGGTTACTGACGGCTCACTAGAGCAGAGTGCCCCTGCAAGTATTCCTGTCAGGCCTGTATGAACGTAGGTTTTCCTAGCACTCTGAGCTGCTCATAGCTGCTAGCTGCAAACTGAAAGTTATTCCAACATTTTATAAAGCAGTAGTTTGCTATAAACCTTTCCATTTTGAATTTCAGTGCTAAGGTGGAATGACTTTACACCTTGTTTGTGTAAGTAAACAACCACCATCTGCCCAGCACAACCATAAGACACAAACTGATGTTAATTGGGCCAATAAAAATGACTACCTGTGAATTTTTAAAATTTATCAGAAGTACACAGATGCATAGGCATATTGAGCTCATATAGAAAAAAACAGGCCCATGAGCTTATCAAACATAGCAGACCACTGAATGATGAAACCTCACTTGAGACCCATAAAAACAGGAGCCCCCCGCAAAACTGAACATGATGGCACCCTGATCCTGTTACTCACTCATCATGAGCTTTGCTCAGGAAAATCACCAGAGTGAAGAATGTCCAAAGCTCTGTGCTCTGGCTTTAGCAGAGTGTGGTTTCTCCTGCCTGTGTGGACCATGAATACTCCAAGCTTACATCTCAAACTGACACTGTGAAACTGCCTTCATCAAGATCTTGACATAGAATAAGTTCCTGTGCATTGACATGTATGTGCCCTGAACAAGTTATTTGGCTGGTTCATTTTCTTATCTACCTATAGTAACTCTTTGCATTCATATCTTCTGCTCTGCCTTTGCTTTCAGTTCAGCTTCTGGCCTTAAAAAAAAAAAAAAAAAAAAAAATATATATATATATATATATATATATATATATACACACACACACACACACACACACACACACACACACATATATACATACATACACACACATAAATATGTTTATATACACACATATATACATATATGTATATACATACATATATATGGAAATTATATAAAATTAAGACTGGGCCAGGCTCTATGGCACATGCCTGTAATCCCAGTGGCTGGGGAGGCTGAGACAGGAGGATCAGGGGTTCAAAGCCAGCCTCAGCAATGGTGAGGTGCTAAGCAACTCAGTGAGACCCTGTCTCTAAATAAAACACAAAATAAGGCTAAGGATGTGACTCGATATATATATTTGTCTATTTCTCATCTAGATATATATATCCCTTTGAACTCAGATTCCAAAGCACTGTAAATATCTTCCTCTATCTCATATCCCATTCTTAAACACAACTGACTTTATGATAAAGAGGCTTCTTAGTGCAGTAGGTTTAATAAACTTAGTTTTGTTTGATCAACAATTTGTTCTGATAGTCTTGTGGGGGAGTTGGCAATTAATAATCTTTTTCATATTTTTGTTCTAAAATATTGGGATTTTTTTGTATTTAAGACTCAAATATCTTATGTTTAAGGGCTAATATAACTACTTAATTATTACATGGATATTTATACATAAGAGGAGTTTAATATGGTGAAAAGATTCCCTAGACTTTTGGAGCAAGGACATCCAGGTTCCTGTCCTGAGAATTACTGGGGATACTGGGTAAATCTTTTAAATATTCTTAGCTGGTTATATTTTTTTTTAAGGAGTAAAACATAATTTTAATCATAAAAATATGGAATGCTTCACAGATTTGAGCATCATCCTTGGGCAGGGGCCATGCTAATCTCTGTATCATTCCAATTTTAATATATGTGCTGCCAAAGTGAACACTCAGCTGGTTATCTTAACTGTAAATTGACAGAACTGGACTAGGTGAAGTCCAATGTTCAAAATCCTATGACTATTTCAAAGGGTACTTTATTTGGGGTTGTTATGCCCATTCAACTGAAAATGAATGAAAACATCAATACATTGCCTTTGACACTCTGCTCACACAAAGAATGATATAACCTGTAACCAGCCTGTAGGAAGTCTTATAATTAGGTATTCATTCCTAAAACTCAGTGTGATTCTTCCCTCACAATAATTTTCATAGCTTTGTGCTTGACTGTATCTGTTGCTACCCTGTTTCCTTCACACAGACATGGCTTAAGGCTGCATAATATATAGTTTTGTGGCCCTTCTGGACTGCGATAATTGTTCATCCAAGTAATATCTCCCCTTATACTGAATGTGAACTTATTTTCTTGAATCATAAGACTTCTAAAAGATGGCAACATGACAATAAGTACATAAGCTAAAAACAGAAGAATCCTAGTTCTATGACAATCAAAATACACAGAAAATCAAAAGCAAAAGGTATTTAAATTAAAAGGCATTTGTACCATATAAGTGCATTTTAAATGATACAAAGTATACTATATGGAGAGGTATAGCAAAGAAATATTTAGGGCTTAGTGATAAAGATTTAATTAGATCCATGTAGATAAACACAAATTGCTATGTTCTTTAACACCTACAAATTCAGACATAACTGCATCTTTACATATCTTGCAAAACCTGAAGTGCTAGAAATTAAAACCAATGTGATGAAGACAAACTGCCTGTACTATTATTATTACTTGGTAATAACAAAAGAAACAAAACTTCAGGGATGAAATTTACTGCTGAGCCCCAACTACAGTAATTTGAAGAAAGGGGCAAATATCTAACAATGAAACAGGTCCAGAACCTTATTAGGAAGATTAAAATTATATAAGGAAGCCTAGTATAGTAAGAAAACCTTGTCTATTTCTCATCTATTGAGTAGTTCTAGTTTTAAATAACTAGAAGAATACTTGGTCTTGTGCTTATAACATCATAGAAACTAAACAAGTAGCATCTAGTTATAGTCAAATAAATACCTCATAACCTTTTTTTAAAAAGAAAAATTTCAATTACTTGGTATTATTCTCTCAATCATTATTTTAGTAACTGAGGAGGATATCTTTTTAATTTAAATACAATTCTGAACCAAAAACAGTTGAAAATGAAACCAAAATACGGAGGCATCTGTGACTGTGAGAACTATTTGTCAGAGTCAAACTCAGTTTTCATTTCTCATACCTTAATGTTGACTTCAGGATTTAAAGTTATGATTTCTCTTCCTTACAAATATAGCTTCTATGCCATGTAGAACATGCACATTTTATTTGCATGCAACAGAACAAAACAAAGCTCTCATAATAGCTACAAAGCACGACTCACCTTAAAACATTAAAACGTCCATGCACATTTAACAGCACTGAGTACTTTTATCACACAGAGCTCAATAATTAACAAAAATGACTCTATCCTCAAGTCTTTTTTTAAAAAGAGGATTTAATAAAAGAGAAATACTCAGATGCTCTTTCTGTGGAAAGAAAATAAGACAGTGGCTGCAGCTGTATGGGGATAAAATTTACTGCAGTCATTTGGCTACAACTGCTACCTTTTCTTCTCATTAACATATTCTAGAATAAGAAATATGATTCTGTACACTCGCAAAGTTTTCATTTGAAGATTTCAGAGCCTTTAATAAAGTTCCACTGCAGTAACCAGCCCTTTAATCCCATTTAGAAGTTTTTCGCCTCATATAACTGTGCCCTTCACTATCAATTGCTTCATAGAGGTCCTTTTTATTCTCTTGTGTTGCATGTAGATAACCAATATAAGCCACACAAAGTGAAAGGGTGACCAATCCAAAAGCCATTACAGGTTTGTTCTGTCAAAGAAAAAAAAATATAAAGTCTCATTAGGACAA